CTTTGAGTGGTCTGAAACTGATTTCATGTGTAAATTATGTCAATCCAAAAATCAACCTTCTAACATGAGATTTGACAATCTAATAAATTAATAAAAGTTTCACTGTACGTTATCAATACATGTAACTCATTTACCCATGAACCAACACATTTGTATCTCTATTTCTCATTTATTCCCAGTCTTTTTTTTTATCCCTAGTTAATGTGTATATTTGTTTTAGCAGTTGTTTTAATGGTTGTTTTATGATTCATTTGATCACTTTAATAAAAAAAAAACAATTTTCATCTTTAAAAGATATGTTAAGACAATTCAAATCTATTGTTCAAAACCAAAAGATATCATGTGTCATTGTAAATACACTTCCACTAATTTAAACAATGAATAATAAATCAGTCTCGATGAACCCAATTTTTGTAAGTCTTATGAATTTTAAAATCTAATGAAGTTGAATTTAACTTAAACAACCAATAACACCCCCTAAAAGACTCTTTGGTATTTGCATGCAACAAAAATTTTCATGATGTCATTAAAGTCACTCACTTTGAGATGTTTGAATTATTTAAACACTTATAAGATACAAAACTGGATCTGAATCAATCAGTATAACCAAATCGGGACTTCAACAATTCATATGTGGCGCGGTCCACATAGAACCTGCCTTCTTGGATCAAGTCGCTAGCTACTTTAGTTTCTGGATTGATCCGATTACCATATATAGTGTCAACATCGGATGGCTCCATCACATCTTCAAAGGTACCTCTAGAAAATAAAAGATTTTTTTCTAATAAATTTTCTTTCTATTTACATTTTCTGTAATTTTTTTTTAATAAATTGATTAGATTTTCTTTTATTTTTATCATAATAGTAATTTTTTGAGTTTAAATATAATTTTTTTCAAATAAAATTAAAAATTACTGCCACGTTATTTAAACATTAATAATAATTCATATGATAAGAGTAAAAAAATTTCTTTCTATTTACATTTTCTTAAAATTTTATAAACGTCCAAAAAAAGAAACCAAGTATATTTCGGGTTTTTTCCCCAATTAAATAGATATACCCTAAATATCGTTTCTGCTTCGTAAACTTATATAAAATTTTAAGTAAACCGTATCGATAACCTTCAAAATCAATCGATAATGACACCAATTCAATTCGTTAATTGCTAATATACTAAAGGGATTGAATTAGAACCCAAATTATCTATTGGGCTTGCCATTGTATTAGCTATGCTCTCTATACATACATTAGAACCCAATTTATCTATTGGGCTTGCACGTAACAAAACAAAAAAAGAGTCAATCTAATTTCAATATGCAATTTGGTACGTATTTATTCTTAACGAGTAACTCTCTTTAATTGAAGTAGCGATTATGAAACCAGTATTAGTGTTGTATAACGTTTATTTACAATTAACAGAAATATCTAGCACGTCCTGATAGATCGTTAATTTAGAAAGTTTAGTAATTTTGTTTGTTAGAAATTTGGAATATATATAGATTGGGCAAGAAAAAAAAAATTTGTGATATACAATTTTTGTAGCTAAATCGCTTGGCTTTTAGTTTAAACTTATTTGTTTCATTTCATTTTTTTGACCAAAAGAAATTATTAAGTACGTTAAAAAAAATTAACATGATCGTAAAAATGTGTATTAGAAATCTTATATATTTTCAAATAAATATATATTAAAAATCTGTAACATATTTATCATAGAAAACTGTATATATATATATATATTATCTTTTTCATATTACTATGGGGTTTTATGAAAAATGATATTAAATCGTAAGACAAGTGAAAAAGTGGATAGCTCCATTAACTGTTAGAGCTAGCTAGTGTAAACTATTCTTAGAAGTATTTGGATTTTACTATTTTAGTCTATACTCTCTGATACTTGAATATTCAAGTAACGTTTTCAAAAATTGGAGATAATTAATAAAACTTTATCATTTCGTAAACTTATTAAATACTATAAAAGACCTTTGTAAGTAGGCCCTGAAATGTGGAAAACATTGTAATTAAAACACAATCTATAGTTTTATAATAGATGCAATGTGTATATATATAGATAATAATAGAAAGAAAAAAAAAAAAGAATATGAAAACGATATAAGCCAAACATACTTATTATGAATATTAATTGGAGAGAGTGAGGTGTGTTACCATCCATATGGTGTGAATTCTATGATTTTTGGACCCATTGTTATAAAACTAAGGAAGAAGACAAAGAACATGAAGACATGAATAGTTTTGTTTTCTTTTAAAGTGATATATAAATATATAAGAAAATTAATTTAAATTATATAAAAAATAAAAGGAATGGTTGTCGTTTGAAAATGGGTACGAGTAAATAGTGTTGCAGACTCTGCTCCAACAGTAATTACAACAATGCAATATGCAACCACGACCCACTTGTTTCTATTCATTTCCCATTCTTGCTCTCTCTCCAAATTGACTAATGTTTTAAATGTTATCTATGATGAATGATGATGATGATGATGATATAACACCATGTTCTTCTCTTTGCACGCTTCTTGGGTTAGGTTAGGTCGTGCGTTACGTTAAAATAAGTTATGACCGTATAAATTAGTATCGGCTAATCCCGTAGAAACGTGTCGAAGTGTATAATAGTAGACGAGAATATACTCCAAATTAAAAATCATCGGATTAGAAACGCATCAAAGTGTTTAATAGTAGTAGTAGACTACACTACAAAAGATCATCACACTGTCTTTTCCGAGTTTGTAATGTTTTTCGATTAAATCATATAGAGACCAAATAAGTTTCACTTCAAATTACTTAATCGAGTTTTAATAAACCTTTTGTTTACATTTTACAAAGAAAAAAGAGTAGTAGTGAAAATAGAAAGTTTAAAAAGTCTTGACTATCACTTACCCCAAATCTTTGGTACATAAGGTAAAAGGACACATTTAATGTATAGTGGTTGTATTGGTTTAATTTGGCTTCTATTGGTTGAGGATTCATATATATATATAAAGTACTATAATTACTAATAGAGACCATATATTAAAAGGAGTACTATTTGTAATAACATTTTCTTAAAAATTAATCTTTAAGATATGCAACAAAATGCAGAACTATATACTTACATAGTATTGTGTGATTCCTTGAGAATGCAACTTCAATTATTATCACCGAAATGTCTAAAAACGTAAAGCATCTAAGAAACGGTGCCTCTGTTCCTAACCCCATACTCAACGGTTCAATACAAAACTCTAATAAATGTCCTTTTTTGGGGTTCAAAAAATGTTTTTATCTTTTTTCTTCATTACATTTGGATATACGTACAACCCAAAATGCATACATATAATAACTAGACCCTAATCTTAAGTGTGTTTGCTAATGTTCTCTAGCTAGCTAGTACCCTAATTGTAAGTGTCACTAATATTGGGTTAATTAATCACTTAATCTTTAAAAAATCCAAAAAAAAACAAAGTACTAAGTATGTATATCATCACATAAAACAATTTTGGTGTTATATATGTCTCTTATTTTTTTAAAACTATATAGATAGATAGATAGATTTATATTGTGAGAAAGAAAACGTTATTGTTTGTTACTAATGTTCTCTAGTACCTTAATCTTAAGTGTTACTAATCTTGAGGTAATCTTTAAAAACTCCAAAAAACAAAGTATGTATATCATTACATAAACAAGTTTGGTGCTATGTCTCATAGCTAACTATATAGATAGATATATTTATTGAAGAGCCTATTCTTAAGTGTTTACTAATGTTCTCTAGTACCCTAATCTTAAGTGTTTACTAATATTCTTGCACCCTAATCTAAAGTATTCACTAATCTTTGGTTAATCTTTAAAACTCCGAAGAAAACAAGTTTGGTGCTATGTCTCCTAATTATTCTATATAGATAGAGATAGACAAATAGAAATTGAAGAGAAAGAAAGAGTCTGTGATTAGTCATACAAACAACACTCTCTTTCTATCTCTATACACATATCGACGACACACCATAAAAGTTGTTCTTTCTCTCCGTTTCCTTAGCCTCTGCATCTGGGCGATTTATTCTCTCTCTCTCTCCATCTCTCTATCTATCTCCCTACACCTAAGGGAGAGTAGTACTGATCCTATAAACTCATCATCTTTCTATGCTTTCCTTCTTTTTCTTATTCTAGCGCAAAACTAGCGAGTCAAAAATATATAATATAAAGACACATGCATGAATGAACATATCATATAGTATTTATAATAATAATAATAATACTATTTTGTATATGTAATTAGAGAAAGAGAGAAGAAGGTGGCAGTAGATTCTTGTGTTCTTTTTTTGTATAAAGAAAAACATGAAAAATTGGGTTTGACCACAAGAAAAGGTAACTTCATTATCAAACTTTTGTATTTTTCTTTTTGTCAACCATATTGTAATGTTTAAATGCGTATTACTAGAGAGTATGTAATATAATAAAGAATGGTTACTAATAACAAAATGGTTTTTTTTGTTACTGTATGTAAATCCCTAGACAAAAAGAATAAGAATAAAAAGAGCAAAATTCTTCATCCCAAGATCCATCAGGACAGTCAGAGTCAGACCCCATCTCTCATTTCCCATCTCTCCTTTTCACATTTAATTTCTTATTCATAATATTTTGAAAATTTTATTACATTTATTGATACTATTGTTATTAGAGAGAGAGAGAGAGAGGTCTATGCTAGGGTCCAAGGGTTCATCCCAAGATCCCTTCTTCTTCTCCTTAGGAACTCTCAACTTCTTCACATGGAAATCAATTCCTTCTAGCTAGTACCACCAAATCCTATTACTATTGAAGGTATATGTTCATATTAAACTCTTAAGGTAGATAAATTTAAAATATAACATTAATTAGTACTAGTCTTATCATATTTATGAGCTCATTTTCTAAAATACTAATTATATAAAGCTTTTTGCCCATCGAGAGCCTCAAAACCCAAAAGTCTCTTCTTCACGAGATCCAATCTTTTGCTTTTTAGTAATTTATTACATCTTCTTCCTTCTCTTCTCTTCTCTCTTCTTCTTCTTCTTCTTCCTTACCCCTCTCTCATCATACCTACCTATAACCAAACACAAAGAACACCATTGATCCCATCAGTTTTATTCCTTATATTTCGTTTAATCCATCCTTACGCATTTCCAAACTATACGGTGCAAATTCAATTTCTTTCTCTCTTCTTTAACTTTTAATTTCTCAGGTTGTGTCTCTAGACTCTTTATAGGTATAGTTACCAAAATTTGACTAGCTAGCAATCATATAGCTACAAAGTTCCTCTCTCTATATCATATAGCTAAGCTACACATATCTCTAGGTCTGAATTTTTATATATCTTCCATAAGCATATATTATATATATCTTCATGCATACCTTTATGTTTGACTTTATATAAAAAGCACCTTCATGTTACTCTTTCTTTTTCCTCTATTTGCTTTCAACAGTTTGACAAGAAGGTTTAATCAGTCCATGTGTTGTGTATAGTGTATGTACATATATATATATAGAACTAGCTCACCAAATATCTTTAATACTACTAATTGCAAAGTTGCTTCTTATTTTACAGCTTTTTATATGCAACCCCAAATAGCAACTTAAAGAAGAAAGCAGAGAGGATCTTCTTTTATTTCCCCCTTCAGAGAGAAAACAGAAACCATATCTTCAAAGAGAAGACTTCTTTAATTTTCTTGTCGCAGGTAAAATAAACTTTTCCTTATTTTAAAGATTTCAAACAACTTCACTAATTTATATTTCTTTCCTTTAGTTTACTCACTAACTTTTCATTAAAAAAACAGAAAAAAAAAATCTACAAAATCACATCATTTCAAAAACTTTGATTTCATAATATCTTTTTATATCTTCTTCTACGGTTCTACCTCCAAAAAAAAATCTAAATTCAAAAACCCTAATTTAATTCTTTCTCTCAATTTCAATGGCGGCTTTGTATAGGAACTGAAAACACCATTTTTTAATGGCGTCTTCATCAACAAACTCACCATGCGCCGCTTGCAAATTCCTCCGGCGAAAATGTCAGCCAGAATGTGTATTTGCGCCCTACTTCCCACCGGACCAACCACAAAAATTCGCAAACGTTCACAAAGTGTTTGGAGCAAGCAACGTCACTAAGCTCCTTAACGAGCTTCACCCTTCACAACGTGAAGACGCAGTGAACTCTTTGGCTTATGAAGCTGACATGCGTCTCCGTGACCCTGTCTACGGCTGCGTTGGAGTCATCTCTCTCCTTCAACATCAACTTCGTCAGCTTCAGATAGATCTAAGCTGTGCTAAGTCAGAGCTTTCTAAGTACCAAAGCCTTGGCATCCTCGCCGCCACTCATCAGAGTTTAGGTATTAACTTACTCGCCGGAACAGCTGATGGAACAGCCACAGCCGCCGTGAGAGACCATTATCACCACCATCAGTTTTTTCCTAGAGAACAAATGTTTGGTGGCTTAGATGTACCGGCCGGTAACAACTACGACGGTGGGATTTTGGCCATTGGACAGATCACTCAGTTTCAGCAGCCTAGAGCCGCCGCCGGAGATGATGGTCGTCGTACTGTTGATCCTTCTTGAGAATTTTAGGGTTTTGGTTGTTCATCATCGTTGATCTCTTGGTGATGATGATGAAAACTAAAATTAAAAATATATTTGATGTGCGAAAAAAAACCAAAATATTTTAAACTTATGGTATCTCTTGATGACATTAATCTCAGTTTTTATTATTGTTATTATTATTATCACTTAGATATATAATGATGATAGTCACTTTTGTATTTCTTTCAAAATTTTATTTTCTCTTGATTTTATATCACATAGTTCATTATAGATTACATCAATTCTAAATATGCCAATTTTACTAATATCTTCGTATGTATTTCAAGCAAGAAATATATATATACCTAATTCAAGTTGATATTGAGGTGATTTTTAATAAATGTTGGTTAGAGAATTGATAATGATTTTTTTTTAAAAAAAATTTCTAATTTAAATAAGGATTGGAAAAGTAATAAAAACATGAAATATGTTGTATATAAATGATATTTGTAAGAAGAGAGGATTGATTTGGAACACTGTCACCGTCAAGGATAAGATTTGATGTAGGAAGGAGCTTAACGGAATACAAAACATGAACATGAAACATCTTACTAGACTCTTTCTAGGCTTTTGCTATCTCTAATTAAGTCTTCTTCTTCTATTTATTGTTGTTGTAAATACTAATTGTCACATCAACTATGTTTGTAGTTTGTTTTTTTTCTTTCTTAAAACTATTTGGATATAGTAATATGCAAAAACTCAATTATGCTACTACAAGTCTACAATATAATACAACTGGTTTTTTTTCAAGTATAAGATTCACAAAAGTAAATTGATAAATTCTAACCTTTCACCAATTTCACAAATATACATTTGTTGGGAGAATTTTTAACAAAAATACTATGTTCATCTACTTATGATTTTTTTATACTGAACTACACCTTTTGTAAAATCTTTAACTTTTGTTGGTGTATTCTTAAAAATAAGGTTAACTAAGTTTTACAGAAGAAAAAATAAACAAAAAGTGTATGCTTCAAAATTATTTTTTTGTACGTTTATTTTGTAAATTAATTTTTTTTTGGCACGAAAAATCCACACCGAATCGCATTATGTCACGAATGTAAACAAAGTTCTTTATACAAATTGATTCTGTTAAGTTAATTACTATATTTGTGAAAAAGATAATTATTTTATACAAATGAAAAAGTATGTAAAGAATTAGTAAGCCAACGAGATAATTTGTAAAATCTTTTTATTAATAATTGAAATTAAACAAAATTAAAATTAAAGATAGTTTCTTTCTTTTTCTCTGGTTGCTTATAAATGAAGGAAACGTTGTTTAGTTAATTTCTTTTAATTTTTAATTTTTCTCTTTTTACGTATAACAATGCAGCAACTGTATCTAGTCAATTGCATTATTTTTGTCAACTAGTCAATTGCATTATTTTTGTCAACTAGTCAATTGCATTTAAGATACATAATAAAAATGATGATTATAGTATCTCTCATAGTTTTTTTTCTTACAATTTTTAATATTGATTTTATTCTATTCACATCATTAATTAAAAATAATTAATGACAAGTATCGACACAATTCCCAGTGTTGACCAAAATCCCCCAAATTTTCAGAGTACTTTTGAAGAAACCCTAAAGTTAAAAATTAAAGGATTTGTCAATTTGGTTTGTTCAACCTTGCACCTGTCGCCCGCACGGTTGCATCATCTAATATTTTTTTTTTTTTTTTACTTTATTACACCATGATTATATTACAATTAAGCTTACTTTTTTCAATTGCCAAAAAGGTTTACCAAAGCAACTCCATTGACATAAGTTAATAAAATAATTACATACTTTCTTTGTTTCACAAAAAATATCACTTTTTAGAGAATAATTATTGTTTCACAAAAAATGTCATTTTAGATTTCTAATGTACTTTTAAAACTAATTTTCTACTTTACCTTAAACTTTTATGGAATTTAAATTATTAATGACTTATTAAATAGGGACAAACATGTATAATTCAAGTATTTCTTAATTTTTATGAAATGTGTCAAAATGACATTCTTTTTTTAAATAGAGAGAGTATTAGTTTTTGTTAATAGTGTATTTAAACTATTTATTTCTAACTAGAATGAGGTTATAATTATAAATTTTCATTAAAAAATGGTAATTCTACATATAACATCTCTCTCTAATGAAATATTATATGTAAATCATTTTTATTATTAAAATATACATTGGTAATTTATGATATTACTACTTGTTCATGTTGATTCCACCATATTTTATCATTCATATTCACGTTTTAGGAAAATGATTCCCTTATATATATTAAGTCAGATTCTATGTAATATACTAATATAAATGATGATAACCATTAAAATAATTCTTTAATCTACTAGTACTTTAAACCAACTCTAAAGGTATCGAATTGACTCTACAATTATCATGAAAAAAATCACATGTTATTTAGGCTTTCTCTCATTAGCCAATGTAGTCGTACTATACACAAATAGATGAAGCATTAATTCATAGGTACTATACACAAATTTAGTCTTTTGCTAATTGGTTCTCCAAAGGGATCGGTACTTAGCACTATTAATTTCCTCGTGGGTCGTATGAAATGTCAGTCCTTGGAGGCATGTATTGCTAGCTATCCTTCACTAGACAACATGGTCAATGTATAGTCTATAAAATGAAGTATAAAGAGAGACTCAAGAGAACCATAAATAACAATGTGGATGAAACGAATCGTACTAGAGGTTATCATCATTTGGCTAATATAGAATAAACAAACCTTGTAAGCCTTTGACTCCTCATTGGAGAATCTATGCTGCCACTCGTGAAAAAGTTCAAAACCTTTTGAGTTTGATCCTTTCATACCATCCTTTGTTTATAATCTTTAGTACTTTTAGAAAATATGTTTTTTCTTTTTATTTACCCTATTTGCTTAAAACAATATACATACTAAAATTTGACCCCAATAAATAGATTAAAAATTTTAAACATGTGAAGATTCTAATTAGATCATCATACTAAACTATATGATGTTTAATAAAGAAAACATACCAAGATATACACGTTACTCTTTGTTAATATACTTCTATTACATAATTGTAGCTCATTAATACACAACAAATGTTTTTTTTATAAAATATTGGATTAAAAGTCTGAAACACAATAATTTTTTTTTAAAAACAAATATTAAAATGAATTATGGAATGATGTTAATGAAAGCTAAGTTAGTGTATAAAAACAGGGAAAAGGTGTGAGAAGTGTACTTATCTAATAGTGTGATGGCAGAAATAGGTACACAAGTTCTTCGGAAATTTTTTTATTTCATGAATCCATCCAAAACCTTCTTTTGTGATCTTCTCAATTCATTACAAACTGTTTGCTTTTTAATATATTATCTTAAAAGCTGTTTTTTTTTCCTTCAATATCTCTGTCACAAACAAAGCGACCCCCACATAATATGAGAGACAATGTTCATCCATGGGGCATGTTTCGTATATACCATTATTTGTTAAAATTTCGAATAATACAAAATTGGGTGCAGTACTTTCCAATAAACAATTGATAGTGTTTATTCATATATATAGTTTTTTTTTTTTTTTGAACAACCTTCATATATATAGTTCATGCTGCATATATGCTTGGGTTTAGGACTCAAAACAGCACACAAGGCAAGTCTTTGTGACTCATGATTTTTTCAAATGATTTTGGAATTGGAATTAAAATTTCTGTTAAAATCAGCGATAAAGACTTGCCCATCACATAGTATATTATTAGGTTCTGCTGCAAAATTTATTGGCCAAATGTTAAAAATTATGTTGCTAATTAGTCCATAATCAGTGAGTCATGTACTAGTTATAATTTCAACTCATTTCTGTTGTAACATAACTACAATCTCTTAATGCACAAGAAGTTTATTCACATAAAAAAACCCTGATGAAACACAATTTTATAACTCCACTGGTTATATTGTTTTGGTATTGCATGGTTCATGTATTCCAAAAAATACATTCATAACTTAATATACTTCATGACATTCATAACTTAATATACTTCATGACATTTTTTTGTTGGAGAATATGATACAACTAAATTGATAACCGAACAAGCCCTCCTTGGTTTCATCACTTTATAACTATGGCAAAAGTAAGTAGTTGAGAAAATCTTGGTGTGATTTGTGGGCGTTGGTAAATTAAAGTATATTACACGAGTGCGAAGCAATGAATGAGTTAGTGTTGAGAAGAGTGTTGAGAAAGAGAGGGAGTAGTAAAATAAATGCAAAAGCTCTAAAATAGTTAAGAGAGGGGATGAGACTGTTAAGCAAGAAGGGTTTCCCAAAAAGAAGAAAGCTCAAAGAGACGAAATAGAAAAGGACAAAAATAGCGACAAAAAGGCAAATGAATAGTGGTAGTTGAGATTTGAGCCTATTCCATTTATTATTTTAAATCCTTTTTTACAAAAATATAAACACATTTTTTAATATTTTTCATTGCTTATTTAGGAGTATTCAAAATTTATATAATTCGTGTGTGACAGATGGCTAAGGATATGTCATTTGAGATGGAGTGATCATCATCTCTCATTTATTACCTTCGCTTGCTTTTATTTCTCCATCGATCTTCTCAATTTTTCTAGAGCAAAAATAATGAATTTTGTTTATTTTCTTTGAATTTTGCACATATTATTGTCTTAAAGCAATACTACATATTGTAATTATAAATAAATACTGTTGTAATAGTTTTAAACCATCAAAAAATTTAGTAAACAAAATCGTTTAACATTTTGCGACGAATCGATATTAACGTAAACCAAAATTTGCATTTTTTTATAGTTTGATTTGTTTTTTGTTCCTCATCAATTTTTGTATTGATTTAAGCTTAAAATATGACAAGAAAAAATATGTAGATTGTTATTTTGCAAAGAAATGAGAGTTGTAGGCTTGTAGCACTAAATTAAAAGTAAATAAGTTAATTAAAAATAAGTTAATTAAAATAAAGTAAATATTTAATATTTAGACACAAAAATAAAAATAAAAATAAAAAAGTTAATAAGGAGAGAGATCAATAATGAAGAAAGAACACAGCAGAGAGAAGCTGCTTTGCTTTTCGCTCATATCACATCAGCGCACAGAATTATCAGATGCTACTGATTTGAAAGACGTAGTCAAAAATTTTATTTTTATTTCTTGTTTTTTATAATTTTATTTTAAAACAAATATATATATATATATAAATAAAAAGACAATGATGACGTACTTTTGCAATGATGCTCTTTGTCTTAAATGCTTCGTCACTGTTTTTACTCTCTCTCTCTCTATCTTCTGATTTGTAATGTAATTGTACCGCTGACGCAATGTACATTCAATTTTAGTTCCTTTTGTTGATATCTGAAGATAATACATTTGTGTTTAAGCTTAATTAAGTTAACAATGTTAATTAATAGGGGTGGGCATTTAAACCGAACCAAACCTAACCAAACCGAACCAACCGAGCTTCAACTGACCCAGACCAGACCCAATTTTGCACTCAAACCATTTGGTTGTGTTTCTTCTCAACCCAAATGGTTCGGTTCGGTTTTAACCAAAAACCCAATGTGTTAATTAACTAATTAATAATATTATTAATAATATTGTAAACAACTAAATATGTAATCCAACATTCTTTCAAAATTTCATTTTTATTTTCTAATATTGCTAGGCATTTGATTTTAAATATTGTTTTACTTGAATTATTGAGTTTACAATTTGTTGATTACTTAAATTTATTTTTTTTAACAAAATAAAACCGAACCAAACTAAAACCAAACCAAACCGAATCAAACTGAACACAAAACCAAACCAAACTAACTTTGGTTGAGTATGGTTAATGTTTTAGTAGAACCGAATAAACCAAACCAAACTAAATCCGAACCAAACCCGAACTTAAACCGAATGCCCACCCCTGGTTAAACATCATTAAGTGCTCATTTGGACTATAAACTAACATTTTGTTTATAACCTAGTTTACTATATCAGTTATGTTTGTAAGAATGAAAATTAGTTAATGTATATATATACGAAGTTTTTTTTTTTTTTTTTTTGTCATTATATATATACGAAGTTCAATTGGTAAAACGAGATCGTTTAATCCGACTATACGAATGGATGATGGGAGTTTTGATTACGATGGTTCTTGCTTTACGACAAAATCAAATTATTAGTGTTCTTATCATTTACTTACTAATCACATAGACTATAAAATTTGTATTCACACAATACCTCCTTATATTGATGGTTGGATCATAACAATTAGACTTAAAATGATAAGCATTTCAATTTCACGAGTTTATAATGTTTGACATTGTTGAAAATGATTCAGTGTCATACTATAAATAAGATCAAACTGTATCCAAATTTAAATGAGAAGGAATTTTTTACTTAACAAACATCCAAATTTAAAAGTAGTCAAACTGTTTAATTAGACCAGATTTTAGACTTTTAAAATTTTATAAATTATGAATATTTAAACTTATTAAAACATTAATGTATTATGAATATTTAAATTTATAAAAATTTAAAGTATCATGGGATGATGTATATATAGCAAGACAGGTGTGGATCAAGATTAATATAAATTTTAAATATTATTCTCAGTGTTACAGTAAATATAAAGCATCATTTTAGTATTTTGTTAATAGGGTTTTGTTGAATTACATTGATTCAGTTACAGTAATGTGTTTTTAAAATATTATCATGTAGTAGAACGCAGATTAAATCATAGTTTCAACTTATTTACAAGGCATCATGATTTATAGTGGGCATGTTATTATAAATTTTTTTAAATAAATTTAATAGGCAATAAACGGTACCAAATTTTCATGATGAAATTTTTCACTTAGTTATCTTTCTACGTGATTACATTTGATCATGTGTGTAAACAAGAAGGTTAAGTTAAGGTTAACGTACGACATTTGATTAGAAATTTAAAATATAAAAGTTTGTTTAAAGAGAACTCAATGAAGCAAAGAGTTAAAACACTCAAAATTTGGGCTTTCCCAAGCCTTTTATCACTTCCTCTCCAAAACCAGTAAGTATATAAGTCTTTTGAATTGGTATTAGCTAGAATAGAAAAAGAAATTGCAAGTAAAAAAAAAAATTCTATATATTCAAACTATATTCTTCATGCATGATTATATATTCCTTCAAAATATGATGTAAGGCTAATCTTAATATAAGCATAAGAGAAACAGTTAATTTCATTAACAGTTATCACTCGGACTAGTTACCTTTTAGAAGTTAGAACAAAAGAAAAATGAAAATAAGTTAAAAATGTTATTTGTTACGCCTTCCGTTCCTTAGTAGATAACCTGTTGGCCTTATTTTTTCATTCAAAAATAAATGATTTTCTCACAAATTTATGCAAAATTAATCAGATTTTTATTGGTTTTAACAATTTATATTCTATAGATTATTTTTCATTTGTTGAATTGTGTTTCGTTTCTGGTACTAAACGATATTTTTATTTGAAAATATATATATAAAAATTTCTTAATCTGTGTGCATTTGCGTAAAATCATCTATTCTAAAATGGAGCGAGTAATATAGTATACATTGTTTACTTTTGGAGCAGGTGTTAGAAGCTGACATTAGTGTAGGATACGCCAATTTAGAAGACTTAAAGGTAAATTAATCATGTTTGTAGTATTGATGGTAACATGTCACGACTTTTGTATTTGTGGTTAAAACAGGTGAACAGAGTGAACGGAGTGCAAGTAGAGAATCTGAAACATCTATGTAACCTCATAGAAGAATGTTGCACCCAAGATTTGAGGCTAGACTTAGAGGGTGAGTTTGCTTTAATTAACCTTTAACCAAAACGATGCAAGAAACGTTACTTCTAAGATTTAAAACGTTACCATCGGCCATGTCTAAGGACCTTCGATCTTAATATCTCAGTTTATTTGTTTTCTTAATATTTCACATTACTGTGGTAATAGTAATTATTGGGGGTTCTCTCAGTGGCAAAAAGATTTGTTTTGTATTTGAGTATATAGAATTAGAGGTAAACAAGATAATATATTTGTTGGCTATTTTAATGATTTGAGTAAGGATTTACTACAATCAAATCATCTAAATCGTTTTTTTTTTTTTTGCAACTTTGTCTTCCAAAAATAATATGAAGTATAATTTATCGTAATCACTGTCAAGTTTGTCAAAATATTGATAAGTAAACAGTTCAAATTCTGCAATCAAGATTTAGTATAAGAATTGTGAAATTAAATCTTCTTTTGATGCAAATTGGTGTAAGCAAAATTTTTGCAATTAAGTTAGGTGATCTCATTTCACAATCAAGATCTCGCTTTTATTAAGCCTCACATCACATAATGATGTTCCCAATCTCTTAGAGCTAGCTAGTAAGCATTGTCTAAGTTTTAGAAAAGAAAAAACAAGAAAACCAAACAACTAAAATCAAACTTAGTTAAGTAACTAATTTTTCAACTTATCAAAATCCTTGCTAGGATCAAGCTAACTCAATGTTTCTTGCTCTTCCGTTTAACTTTGCCGTGCTTATTCACCTGTTTAAGCTCAAGGTCATCAGACATGGCCGACGGAATCTTGAGGTTTTTCAAGATCTTAGAAGTAGCTTTCTTCGCGGATTTATGATTAAGCGCGAAAAACATATCTTTTTCCAACTCGAACTTCAAATACTCAGTGCAACATTCCTCTATAAGGTGAAACAAGTGCTTCAAATTATCTACTTGCACTCCATTCACCTTCTTTACCTATTTCCACCACAAAAATGTATTCAAGGCAAAGTACATTTTCAAAGTAACTAACTCTAGAGTGTGAAACTATAAGATTCTCTATATGCATAAGTTATGTATATATACATTACCTGTAAATCTTCAACCATACTGAGTCCTGAGGTGATATCATCTTCTAAAATCTGTACAAACAAAACCTTAAGCTCTCGATATGATCAAGTGCATATAAAAATATAATGAATGCGAAGAAAGAAAGTAAAAAACACTTAACCTGAGAAATTATAACGATTTGTTCATCGGCTTTTCTAGGCATCTTTTCTAAAGCACATTCGGAAACATAAGAGTTATCAATGTATGGTTGAGTTAGCGGTACAAAGACAAGACCCCCATATATATAATAACTTGGAGGCTTTTCAAATAGATTCACTGGAACTAGTGGTTGCACCTACACACAATATATATATATCAAACCGTTATAAAATTGTACAATCCAGCCACATTACATATTATGTGTGATCTTATTCGAAAAGCGAACGAGGACTTACGGGTTTTAGACTTATATTGAACTCATGTTCTTTGCCTTCTCTTAAGACTTTAAATAACGCTGTATCACATGATTTCTTCATAGAAACCAAATGCTTGAAACTTACCCGTTCCTGTTTACGAAAAGGAACTGTATACACATGGAGAAATTTAGTAAATATTGGATACAAATGAAAATAATTATATGTATAAGTACCTAATATATTACCTGTGCTATCGTTTCCTATAGGAACACCATCAATTGCAAGAATAACATCACAATTTTTCAGGTATTTGCAAGCATCCGAAAGCGGGTTTATTCGGTTTACGAGAATCCCTGTCATTCCCTTGGCCATCTTCAAGTAGTCGCGGGTTTGAGCATGCTCCATAGTTTGATATGATAAACTCATTGAGCAGAAACTAACATGTTGACCACTTTCTTCAACACCATTTAGAAAATGCCTTATGACTGGAGTTGGAATTATATAGCTGCAAAATATGAAAACATATATAAGCTAGTTTTGTAATCATGTGTAACTCAAGATTCTATGATTTTTAAGTACTAACCCTATATTATCAGACAGCCAACAGCTTTCAAATGCTACACCCGCGACTTTGTTTCCCATTATCACCGGACCACCACTGTTTCCAGAGTTGATAGCTGCATCTATTTGTATTTTCATCAGCTCGGTCGAACTGTGACTGTATTTTCTCAGTTCAACTCTAGACACAACACCTTTTGTAACCGAGATACTGTCACCACCTACATTAATTTAACACGTACATAACTATATAACCATTTGTAAATTACAAGTATTATACCACATAGGTCAAAACCATTCATAAAATATGCTATAAGCTTTGTATGATAGACAAAACATAACAACTTACTTGTCTTTAAGAAAACTAAATACCTTTTGGATAGCCAACAACAGCCACATTATCCATTTGGTCGGGTATGTCACCAAGCTCTAAAGCGGTAAGACCCTCCCAAAACTCTTCGTTATTGATTTCCAATATAGCCAAATCACATTCGTGACCAATTGCTAGAACTTTTGCTTTGTACTTTGTAGGTGAGCCATGTTTTCGGACTTTCACGGATGTATGATTAGCCACTACATGAGCATTCGTAAGGATCTTCTTTCCTGATATTACAAATCCTACAGCCATTCCAAGCTAAGTACGTAAGCCAAACCAAAATTTCCAATAAAGATTCATGCTAGACTTATCTAACAAATACATATAAGACAATTTTCAAAAATAGCACTAATTTAAATGTTTCTTCCGAACTTATTACACTATCCTATTTTCCAAAATTAGCACATATGTCAAAATTAAATCATAAACTCTAAACAATAATCCCTACCCCTAAATACTATACATTGAATGTAAAATAGTCAACCCAAACCTAAAAAACAATTCTAAAAAACAATTCAAAATACTATATATAATTTTTCAATTAGTGTTATTTTTAGAAATTTATGAAGTATGTGCTATAATTATCCATAAAACATATTTTCGTGCTATTTGAGAATACTTCTCATAAATTAATGTGAATATGAATAAAATTATCGATACGTACCAGAGCCAGTGCATTCCCTCTCCATACTAATCTGCCAAGGTTGAAAAATTCTTGGCTTGCTATAGACAGTATACACTTTCACAACCGCGTTGAAGGCCAAATCAATGGTAGTAGTAGTAGTAGTCTTTTTGGCAACATCCACTTCTTTCCCTGGAAAACACTTAATCTTCCAATCTTGAAATCTCCTAAAGACCGATAAGTTCGTCAGCACCGACTTATTCAATGATGGTGCAGCATCAGAAGAAAATAAGCGAAAATTAGAAGATGGACTGCAAAAAACATCTCTCTTTGGTGCTTCATTGCCGTGATGGACAAGAAGGAAACCAGGAACTGTATGAGCGCTCGAGCATCTGCGAAATAGGGACAAGGAACGTACACAACGGAACAACGACATTAGAGCAGTTTAGCTAGAGTTGATGGTTTTGAGCGTTACGAGTATAGGTTATATATATAGTATATAAGATGCTAATATATGTTAGGTTACCAAAATAAAGGGAAACTAGATATAAAGGATGTTTTCATCTAAAGAGGATGTTTTCTTTTTTACTTTTTTAACTTTTTTCCGTATATATATGTATATTGTACATATATTAAGTTAATGTAATGTTCATAGTTTATTATTCAATATAATGATTTGTTATTGAATTTTAAAATCCTCTACCATACATTTTAAGTAGATTTGAAAGTGAAAAATAGTTTGAATGAAATCCGTAGGTAAAATTAACCATTTTATTTCAAAATCCATACGTTTTTATGTCAAAATTTACGATGATTTTTTTTAATAATTTTACAAGTTAATGAAACGAATAAACGTCCTTAATGTAAAAGAGTACCCATCTAATGTAGTGTAAAATGTAAAAATAAATTATCTAATGAAAACCTTTTTAAAAAACTTTAAAAATTTTCATATTCAGTAATTTCCTTTGGATTTAGTTTAGTCTAGATTCTCATTTCTACTCCAATAAATTGGGTAGTCTAAAAGTGAACCACGACTGATAACTTCTAGTAAATCACATTAGTAACCAAGTTGCAATATAAAGAAATAAATAGAAAGACTATGCTTTTAAACCTATAAAATGATTATCATCTTCCAAAAGAAACATTACAGTGTACTATTTAGTAAATCGATAGAACTATATTGTGCTTTAATGAAATCAATATTTATTAATAGAATTGTGCAACCTTCTTTTGATGCACAATGGTGTAATCAGTTATTTTTCGCAATAAAGTAACACAATCTCATTTTCACAATCAAGATTTCCCTTTAAGCCTCACATAATGAAGTTCCCAATTTCTTAGAGCTAGTAACCATTCCTAATGATTTAGTAACAAGTCATGATTTATCAACTGACCTCATTGGTGGATGAACCTGTTCACTCTGTTGGTCTCTGAGATGTTTAACGGGATTTTCTGATAATTTAAGATCAAAGAAGTAGCTTCTTTAGCATTTTCATAGTCGATGACCACAAGTTGAAGCTTTGTTGGATTTGTAATGAAACAAAACAAGAGAAGAGTAGTGAGATGATGCTCTCTTTTTTATGGTGGAGACGTGAGGTGAAAAGCGTGAAGATGGAGTTTGGTAAGGTCGAGATCGGTTCTATCGACAAGGACAAAGCTTTTGAGTAGTTAAAACTACCTCTTTTAGTTTTTTTTTTTCTTTTATAAATTTCAAAACTAAGCTCTTTACAATGGAGTCTTGCTCTCTATTTATAGAGAAGTAGATAAGCTTAAACAAAACCTAGCCTTAATCCTAAACGTCAATAAGAATATCTTGATAATAAAGAAAATAAAAATAAAAATAAAGTTAAACTAAATCCTAATCAAAAGAATAATAAGTAAACACCAAAATAGAAAATAGCTTGATGGGCAAGTAACACACGAGACCAAGCCCATCAAGGATTATAATTACGGTTGCACTGCATCAACAAGACAACAACCATCTCGTTTTCTAAGTCTATCCTTACGTACGTGGTGCAACATATAATTTTTAATTACATGATTATATTCCACCATACATATAGTTTTTAAAGCTATGAGAACTGTTTGACCACGTACAGATCTAATTCTCAAGAAACTCACGTACGACTGTGAAAACTATATTATCATTTTCTCCATTATAACACTTTGTAATCGAAACTAGAAACTCATGCATGATGCATGCATGGTACTTTTGGGTAGCCTTCACTGAATTAAGTGAGACACAAAAAAGAAAAATTAGACCTTCTAAAATTTATTTACAAACCTCTTTTATATTTACTTTCTTTAATTTTTATAAATTGATTAGATTTTCTTTTATTTTTTATTTATAAATAAAATAATAATAGTAAAACAAAATATAAAAAAAAATTTTTTTAGTTAAAATATAATTAATATAATTCTTAACAAATAAAAATAAAAGTTATAACCACATCATTTAAAAGTTACCACCATATCATTTAAAGATTAATTCAGATGGTACGGGTAAAATTGGAATTATATTTTTGTTTTGAGATTGTGAGTATGAAATAATAAAAAATTATTTTTTTGGGATTTAAATCAGAAATGTTAATTAGTATATGTATTTTTCTTCAAAAATAAGTTCAGGTTTAAACACTAAAAAAAAAAAAAAAAAAAAAAACCAGATATTTTTTGGGTTTTTTAGAGACACAACAAATTGATTGGAAAGACAAAACGATGAGTGATACTCCATTTTCCTAAATATGGACTTTTGATTTCCAATATATAAAAAACTGACCTTTGAGATTTCCTATAGAGAAGTTAGATATATTGCATATAAATGTCCATCCATTGAGACTAGAAAGAGTCAGTCTTATTCCTCAATATCTTCTTCAAAATCACCTTAGACGAGTATCTTTGTTGTGTTTTCTTCACCCCAACAATTATACACGTCTAGGCTTTCTTTTGGACAATGATGACTCATGACTCTTGTCTTTTTTCTTATCTTATATATATAGTCTCTTCTTTCTTTTCTATTTTCCAAAATTTGGTAAATTCGTTTTGTATTGAAACTCATGCATCTATGTTTAATCTTGTTTTGTTTGTTTTACACAGACAAAATCTACAAGGAGCATGAACAGTGAGTAGAACCCAAGCATTGGAAAAATCACTGTTTATTCTTTAGGTATACTTTCAACAAAGAAAAAATGATTCTTCCAAAACTTGTGATATATGATGGATATGGATATGTGGTGCCACAATCTTCTTTAATCCTGGATTATCTATATCAATTCTCTTTAACCACAGCGACTAGGTCATATCAAGTGGCTTAAGTTTATGATAGTGATGCTGATACAAATGTCAAGCTCTCGACAAGTGGTGAACAAGAAATGATCAGAGAAATTGATTTATCAAGAGAGTTTGCAAGAACTCCTAAAGGATTTTCAAGACAAGATATCAGTAGTTTCCGAGTCAGCCAAGAGTAGCCTGATGTGCAAGTAATTGGCAAAAAATTGTAATGTAAGAACATCAAGACATCAGCTTCGATCTCCATGTAATTCAATCTTGTAGTGATAGCCGGATCTAATAAAAATGGTTAGAGAAATTGATAACAATAACCTTTTTATGATACCCTCTTTTAAAAATACCCTCTTTTTTACCATTTTCATTTTTGCTTTCTCTTATATTTTAATGGCCATTTTACCCCTATTTGAAAGAATATTCTTTCCCAAAGGAAGGAATATTCTATCCAAAAATTTTCCCCCCAAAAATTTCCCGCCAAAAACTTTCCTGCCAAAATTTTCCCGCCAAAAAAGTTTCCGAGAAAAGTTTTCCCGCCAAAACAATATCCGCAAAAATTTTCACGCAAAAAAAAAATATTTTTTCAAAATTTTCCCGCCAAATTTTTTTAAAGGGTCTTTTAAAGGGTTTTTAAAGGGATTTACAAGAGTTTTTAAATGGTTTTTAAAAGATTTGTAATGGTTTTTAAAGGGTTTTAGAAGCCTATAAAGGTTTTTAAATGGTTTTTAAAAGTTTTTGTAAGTTTATAACAGTTTGAAAAGGATTTACAAGGATTTTTAAAGGATTTTAAAAATTTACAAGGATTTTTAAAGGTTTTTAAAAAGGATTTACAAGTATTTTTAAAAATTTAAAATTACATGCATAATAACTATTACATTTTTTATTTATATGGATACTAAAGTGAGCATAATATAAAGGTTATGTCATTACCAAAATATTCTTTTTCTGTTAAAAAACACATATGTTTTTGATAAATTTCAAATTTTATAGTGAATTTTTAATAAAATTAGAAAGAGGTGTATTTTTAAAAAGTGGTATAATATTCTTCTTATACATGTCTTTTTGATAAATTTCAAATTTTTAGTGACTTTTTGATAAAATTTGAAAGAAGGATATTTTTACAAAGTGGTATTAGAAAAGGGGTGTTTTTGAAATTCCCATATAATTTTTTGCATTTTAATCAGATTTGAAAAACTTATTTTCATAATAGTATAGTTTTTCGTTTTGTATACATTTTAAAATAAAAATTATATTTAATTTTGTAGGTCTGTTTTTGCAAACTTCCGCAACCACAATTGCAACCAATACTTTTAAGCCAGGCCGGCCTTAAACACTATTACTAAACCCACATTCCAGAATTATACACACACTCTAATTACGTTTTTTAAATAAACGCATAAAAATATATACAGTATATAGTAAAATATGATGTGTAAAAATATTTTAATGAAAAAATATTACACTAAAACACTATGATAAAATTTGCAATTAATATAACATACAAAATTAATAACTAGCATATAAAACAAGAAATATTATATAAAATAGTATTAAAAAGATAATATTGATCAAAATCCCGCCGTGTACCGCGGGTTCAAACCTAGTGATATCTTACTAAGTCTAAAAGAAAAAGATATACTGTTTAAAAATAAATATTAATTGACATGGTACCAAATTCTTTGTTGGTTGCTTCCTGAAACAAATTTGACGTCGTTACTTGCTGGTTATGAAATTACTTAACTCAACTTGACGATTCGCCTTGTCGGATTCATTATACTGATGGACATCGCTGGCTCGCTGGTTTCTGAAACAACGAATCTCCTTTATCTAGAATTTATTCTCTAACTTAAATTCGTTGTATATAATTCAGTAAAGATGATAAATTATAAAATTAGTGTAAAGGATATATATAAATATTAAAAGTTAAATTAACATGTGTTAGTTCTTTTGTTTACAATACTTTATAAAACTACAAAACATTGTAATACCATGTGATTTCACAAATATACATGTTAAATAAAACCTAAAATACATGAAAACATACAAATTGGAGAGATGTTTGTATATAAATGATTAAAAAAATATGAAGTGTACTAAAAGTATACATAGTTTAAATGATAAGTTATGGGATTGATAAGTACTTGTCATTATCAAGATATCCAAGATTCCTTTAAATGATAAGGTATTTCATTGGTTGAGCTAGTGGAAAGGCCTATTAATTAGTAACAACTCATCACTTATCAAGTATAAAGAGGTCTATTGACCAAAAATAACTAATTAACTTATGTTATGATCGTCCAACAATTTCATTAAGAAAAGAGAATTCATAAAAACACAAAAAACAAGGATGATATAAAATACTAATACAAATATATTAATACTAACTATATATTTCAAAAAATACTATTTAATATTTCCACTAAAAGTACTCACTAATAATCTGAATTTTAATGTTGTATGTTAACAAAAGAATAATTCTTGGGTTCTTCCCTATGGGTGAACCTATCTCATTCACCCCATTCTTCATTAGCCAATCAAAATATAACACTATGCCTTGTCATTTCTTATTTAAAACATGAGAGATTACTAATCCACTTTGATTTCAATGTAAAAAAAAAACATTAATTAGGAAGACAAAACCATGAGTGACACTCCATTTTCCCAAATATTGACTTTTGATTTCCAAGAGATAGATAACTGACCTTTGAGATTCATTTTTGTATATAAACTATAGAGAAATAAAGAGATAGAGAATCACATTTCTTTTCATCTTCTTCTAAAACACTAATTAGAGACAGAGTCATCATTGTTTACACATACAAAATCTTGCAAGGAGCATGAACAGTGGTACTCAAATTTTGGAAAAATCACTGTTGCTCTTTAAACGTAAGAGCTCACAATTATACCTTTAAAGACGGAACAATTATTATTCCAAAACTTGTTATATATGGTGGATATGGATATGTGGTACCACAATCTTCTTTAGTCCGGGGTTAATATCTATATCCAATCTCTTTAACCGCAGCGACAGGGTCAGAATCAAGTCGATGCAATGTCAAGCTCTCGAGCTGTTGTGAACAAGAAATGATTCGGAGCAATTGATTTAACAGAGAAGTTTGCAAGAACTTAAAAGACAAGGTCCTTAAGGATGTCCAAGAGAAGAAGATATCAAGTAGTTTCCGACTCGACCAAGAGTATCCTGATGTCCAAGGAACTCAAGAGACAGCTTCTCCATGTTACAAGATCTGGCAAAATCGATCAAGCTGTCAATCTAGTGTGCCCTGCTGCTCATATTTATAGGAACAATCAATGAGATGGGTTAAGCAGCATTGTCATTCTTAAAACCAAACTTATTCTAAAATTTGGATCAGACCGTAATAAAACCGAACTTAAATCTAGAGAATCTACTTGTCGAAACAAAAATTAGAATACAAAAGACTTAAAACGGACGAGAGAGTGTATTGATTTGGTGAGAGAAGACAAAAACAAAGTTCCAACACATAGAGAAGTCAAGTGTCTACTACTTTCTCAAGTGGAGCTTTCTGTTTTCTGTTTCATGGCCTTCTCGATAAGAGGTTTCAACTGTTTCTTCTCGGCGAGAAGTTTGAGGAAGTTGAACAAAAACGGAATGTAGTTATGCTTCCTCCTAATGTTCTCTGTTTTCCATTTCATGAACTTCTCTTCCTCCATTATAATCTTATCACTCACAGCCTCAATCCCAATACTCACCTCTTCAATCAACGGGTTAAGTGTTTCTGCTTCAGTTTTGTCCATACCATTAGCCTGCTGCAATAGCTGTTCCCTTTGCCTTTGAAGATCCTTGAGTTCTGCTGTGTAGATATCCTTCCTGTTTTTAATGACAGCCAAAAGATTGAACCTAATCTCGCTCTGTGAGTACCTCTCAATTCGTTCTTGGATCACTGGTTGAACCATTTGCAGCCACTCAATACCACTTTGGTCTCCTGGGCATGGACCAAGGCTGATAGGTCCTTCCTTGAGTCCATCAAGCTCGTACAAGACTCCATCCACAGGTATGTAGCTTATGAAATGGTATACGTCATCATCTTTTGTAGCAGATTTCTGTTCCTCTGGGACGAATGGCTCAGGCCTTGCGAAACTGTTGTGAGCAGTCCTAATTGCCTCACTGTTATTGATAGCCAAACCCTTAAGGTCAGATGGAAAGTTCTTGCTGAATTCTTTAAGCGCTGATAGTTCAGGCCCGATGTCAACCTCTGGAGAGTTCAAGAGGATAGCCAGAATCGCTTGGGTTGCACACGCATTGTTAATGACCTATAAATTTTGAAATTTTGAGACAAAAATTGAAAAGAAACTACTATTAATCAAATTTTTATGACTGTGTTATCGACACGAACCTGATTTGCGAAAAATAAGTTCGAAACTTGATCCTGGATTGTTGGGCGATCATCTTTTTCCCCAGCTTGCCATTTGAAAAGAAAGATCAGACCATATACAGGTCTACAAGAAAGCCACATAGTTGAAATGCATTTATCAAGAAGGCATAGAGTTAACAGAAAAGTGAAAATTTTAAATCAAAGACTATGGTGTCTGGCTCAAAATCTTATTTCTGCTCCATGCGAAAAAAGGAGTCCAGAAACTTCACAAGAGGATAAATAGTCATGGATGCAATTACTCACCTGAGGTTATTGAGAGAATCAAGATCCAGCGAATACATTTCTTCAACCTATGGGAAAAAAGAGAAAAAATCAAAAGGGATGGCCAAGTGGTGGAAACTGATGCAAGAAATCGTTGCAACATCCAATTTAATCTATCAATGATGCATTTAGACATCAAAAAGGGACGAGTAGGGAAATCAGTATAGAACTGAATAGGCCATGAAGTAACAGACACTTACATAAGAAGGTAACTAAGAAGTTCCGATTTTTTTGCTTCAGTATAACTATTTCTAAACTTTAGACTAAAACATAGCAACTTACAGCAAGAAGCACAATACCCTTTTCTCAACATTCATTTCATCACCATTCTTAAGAGACAGACATGACTTGATAAAGTTTCCACATTGAATAAAACTATCTCCAACCACACGTATCATGCAATGTTATGCATCCCTCTCTACCCAAAAAAATAAAGTCAAAACTGGAGGCAATATCCAGAATATATTCACCTGCACTCCTTTGACTTGCATTTGTTGAATAAGCTCTGTAAACACACCTGCACTTGCATAAACATATACATAAATATAGCATTACAGATGAAGTTCCCATTATGAAAGACTAACAAGACTCCACCACAGAATACCAATAGAAACAGACTAAGGACAGTAATAAGATATATTAAACCCAAATATCATCCAAACCGAATATGAACTCTTCAACAGATGCAGCTAAAATAACCTTAAACCCATGAATAATACTCCAGAATCTTAAGAAAAGTCTCTCATGTTTCAATATAGTACCAAACCCACATAACACAGACCCCTTCAGATAAACCCACATCTACTCACATTCACAAGGATGATAAATTTCACAACTTTTCATCAAAACAAGGATTTAGCATTCTATAGCATCGATTCAAGCACAAACCCAAACCACATAAAGAGTAATATAAACACTAAGAAGAGACCAACGTACCAGGATCTGACTCAATCGTGCACCAAGACATGACGAAACTACCTGTGAAAACCCACGAAGCGATCACTTACGAGCAGCGTAATCGATTACGAAATAGAGTAGTAGAAGCCTGATACTAGTGCTCAGTAGGAAATTTCGAAGGAGAAAGATGAAATCGATGGACTTACTTGTTTAAAAACCTTGCTCGAATCGAAGTGGGAGAGATTTTGGGAATGCTTGAGATCGCTTTTGTGAAAATCCAATTTGGGAATTAGGGTTTAACTTGGCCAGATTTTTTTTTTTTTTTTTTTTTCCTTTTTGTTTTTAAATAGTCGTTTTGTCGTGTACTCTTGTTGTTTGTTTGGATTCGTAATATTTTACTCGTTTGGCCTTTTTCATATTTGTGAAAACACAAAAATACAATACAAAGTATATTCTTCTATGGTTTTTTTTTTTTCTCATAAGTGATTTTATTGGGATAAACCAACATACATGGGCTAGTATAAATAAAAGCCCCACAACTTTGATTTTACAAGAAATGTTTGAAGCCCACGAGGAGCCCGAAAGCAAACCCTAACGAAGATGAGTTGACATTGTGTCTCCATCTCAAACACGTGTCAGCTAGGTACAACAAACTTAGCCACGTTGGTAGATGAGTAATCTAAAGGAAACCGACCTCAGCCTCTGCCGTACGACACTGATTCCGGTGAAAGAGTCACCGTCGATACTAAAATCGAATGATGAATCTTATGTTTTCTTCACCGATTAGATGACAATCAGAGTCTTAAAGATAACAGCTAAAGGAAATTGATAATATGCTTCAGTTTCTTCTTCTTTTCTTCGAAAAAGTCGCCATTCGCTGGATAAAATTCTTGTAAATCTGAAACGAAAATATAAACAAACTAGAAACTCAAAAGGATAAGTCGGCGAAGACCATCAATGAATGAATCGCCATCACCAACCAGAAATCCTTAGAACCAAAGGATGCAGTAAAACTTAGCGGCCAAAGATGTTATTGTAACCATCTATGCCGAAGAGAAGCCGGCCGACGTTGCTAAAAGAGCCAAACGTCACCAGACAAAAGCCGACCACCCACCATTATCGTAACGAGGGATGTCGGACAAAAACCGGTAAACACCGGACGGCATAAACCACCGCTAACGTAGCTGGAGGTTGACGGATTAAAGCCGGTAAACACCGGACGACAGAACCACCACTCTCTCTCTAAAAGTTTTTTCAGAGAGTTAAGAGAGAGAGTCATATTCTTCTATGGTTACGATATCAAAAACAGAGTTAATTTGTTGAATAAGTTAAGACAAATAAATCATAAAATAAAATAAAATTGTTCAATAAGAAATACAATAATATATCTTTTCTTGGGTCACGACTCACGATATAGAAAATAGAGTTTATTTGTTAAGTAGCCAAAATAGAAAAACGTATTGCTTTGTAAGCTACGTTGCATGGAAACGGAAACGGATACGCGGAAATGAAATTCGGAAACGAAAAACGAGTTTTTATGAAATTAAGATATAGAAACTTGAACGGACAATCGTTCCATTTACTACTGTTCACTTTTCTCTCTCTGTGTACGATTTTTTAGATCTAGCTTTTTTTTTATTTTTTCTTTTGCCCAGATCTTTATGGCTTGACTTTTTCAGAAGAGAAAGGGCAGTAAGAGTGAGCTTCCATTCATTCCCGTCAGCGTAGAGGTGGGTTCCGACAAACGATATGGTTGTAGCACATCCTCGGTGGCTGTAAAATCTCTGATCTTAATATCTTCGGTTGAAGACTACGGATGTTTGCTTTGGAGATTTTCTAGGCTCAACCATCGTGTTTGTTTCTATGGTCGCGGCGGAAGTTGTTTGTTGGTAAGGAGGGTGAGCTGTCCGTTTAGTAATTAGCAGTGGATCTTTTGATCGTAGCCGACTGTCGTGGATATTGGTTTTGGAGGGTTGTTGAGCCACCAAGCCTCCTTAACTACCATGATTACTGTTTAACTAAACCGGATCTGTGTTTGGTTGTCTCGGGAAAAGGTTGTTAGTAGCTCTTCGAAGGTGGCTGAGTGTTATGTTTGTGTCGGATGAGTTGCTAGGAAGGGGACTCTCCGTTTATGGAGGCCATCCAGTCGGAAAATGGGTATTCCCGAGAGGTGTGTTGCAGAGCGGCGGGTCATTTGAGCTGATTCGGAGCCGGTCTCGTATACTCCGGCTCCATGAATTTGTCTCATTCGATTCAGCAGCGAAGTAGTCTGCCTCGTATACGTCGGAAATGGATGCCGGAGTTTCTGCGGCGGCTAATCAGCTCAGAAAGATCTTAGCTGCTTGATTAGGGCGAACCCTTTTTCTGTTCGTGTAACTTTATCTTTTGTAATTTGCAGGTCCAAAAGCCCATTTGGGATAAGGCCCATTAATAATAATGAAAAAAAACAAAAGATATAGAAACGTGTTGGAAATGCTAATAATATATACATATATCCATATATATATAATATTAACATTAAACATCCAAACTATATTAATTTTAAATATTTGAAATAACTCGTTAATAAAAATATATATACTAAATAGTTTAACTAAAAGATAAATATTAAAACACTGAAATCCAAAATTTAGATATTAATATATCATATATTATTGTATATGTGTATTTAAATTAAATTAATCAGGTTTTAAAAGTATAAAAGTAATCACTCTATATATTATAAATCAAAATTTTTGTTTATTAAATTTCTAAACTAAAATTTTAGGATTTCGTCGAGTTTCCAAAATGAAAACGCGAGTTTCTACGGTGTTTCTAAATAAAAAAAAAAGTTAGGAATCATGTTTCCATTATAGTTTCCGAGTTTTCAAAAGTTTCTGTTTCCGAAACGGGAAACGGATTTCGAAAAGAGTTTTCATGCAAATTTGACAATGCAAATAGAAAATTGGCTAATTTGTAAAATGATCATTAGGCAAGGTCGGTTTGGTTCGGTGGTTCATATATTCAACTTAGTAGGTTTGGCTAACACACTCGAGCCTAAAGTATCTTCAGTTCACTACATTTGCGAAATGGTGGTAGAGGCGGTCAAGCAAGAGTAAAAGTGGTGGACAACAAGAGTCAGCCCGTGCTCAATGCGGCAGGACAACCTCGAGTCCATGTGGTTCCACCACTTATTTAAGAGCATGTTCCTACACAGATGTGATCAAAGTTGCATATGGAGGCAGAAGCAAAGGAGATAAAAGTTCAGTCAACATGAGACGAAAATGGTGTCATGACGACTTCACCAGGACAGTAACGAAAACTCGAAAAGCATTAAAGTACTAGTAGTAGTAGAAGCCACAACTTCCACAAAGCTTCAATGTCAAAATACGTACAACACTACTAGATGAACACATATTAGAGGAAATCTTTCATTGGGTCCTCATGGTGAACTCTCTTCATCCTGTAAGCTTCCATCTCTTCCGGAGTAACCTGCGATGAAACAAGAGGTTTCGATTAATCTCTACTAAAATCAAGGATATGATACAATCACTAGTTAGAAATTTTTTTGATTGTTTAATTAGATCATTACATCGTTGTTGTATTTGACGTTGTACTTGCGTTTCCTTTCATCTTTTTCTTCTCTTCTACTGAGATCCTCCTGCGAAACAAGAACATAAGCGACAAAGTCAGAGAAATCTGCAGGTCAAAGAAACGTTTTTGAAAAGAGAAAAATGTGACTGAAACTATGGCTTCTTACCTTTTTAAGAGCATTAGCAAGTGCCTCCTCGTTCAATTCCAAGTCTTCAGGAATATCAGTTCCCCATGAGGCCATTCTCTTCTCTTCAACCTTTTTTGGACTCTCTGATAACCAAAATACAAAACCAATGTTACATGGCCTAAAAAGTAAAACAGCATTACAAAATATATATAGAAATCATTAGAAAGTGGAAGAATAAATAGAGTCTATACAAACCTTCAGTGGCTTCTTTTCGAGCAATATTAGCTTTCATCAGGTCAAGGGCAGCCTCTGCAGCTTCAATTCCAGCAGAACCTGTGCAGTAGCTATTGCGAATGGTCTGCTGGCAACATTTATAACCCCATTGATGGTCTTTCCAGTATGAGCCCCAAACACTGGTGTGATTATTAGCATGAACATCTTCTTCATATTTACTCTTTGGCAATATCACCTCCTGTACACAACAAAAAACTATTAAGAACGAAATAGATTCACGCAAAAAGCACACTTCTCATATGCTAGTCATATCAGAATAAGAATGCACCAGGTAATAACTCAAGGAAACCATCAAAGACCGTACCTGTCCCTTTATAATCCTCCCAGCTCGGTCATACTCAACCTGTCTTTCACTTTGCCCAAGCAACAGCTCCATTGGAATTTCATCTTTTGTAGCTGCATTCCCGTACTTGTCCATGATTGTGTCCTTTGTCTGAGATTTTAGTTTGTCCTTTGCAACCTGAAAGCTCTTATAAAGCAATTCAGCTTGGGAGGGAGCAGCTTGCATATGCATGTCCTGTCCCTTGTCAAATGCCTCCCATGAATGGATGTTTAGCTGTTTGAACTCCAAGGCTTGGCCACTGTTTCTATATTGGTTATCTCCCTGGATAGATGAAAAAAAGATAGTTAGTATGTAAATATCATCAAAATATAAAATACAACTACATGATCCATGATGAGCATGATACTAACCAGATAAAATTTGTCATTTGGATCTGCATCTGGAAGCGGGTCTTCACGCATGGATCGGGTTTTAGGGTCATAATGAGCTGAGTTGACGTCAAGGTTCAACAAGTATTTTGCAGTGTCTTCTCTGATACGCAGATTTCTGAAATTAAGAGAAGGTCACACCATTAGTGCATCAAGTAAAAGATTCCAGCCAAATAAACCTATGTGATGAGAGATGAGATATTTTGTAGATGAAAAATAATGACTAGTCCATACCTTACAGTTCCTGTGCTACCACCACCAGTTGTTCGAACACGCTTTTCAACCTTCGCGAAATCCATCTGCCTGCTCTCATCAACCTTGGCTTCATCGACCCTTAAGTCATCTTCTTCTTCATCCCCATCACTGGCTGCATCATCACCTTTTTCGTTATTGTTCTTTTCCTCAAGTTTCTTCAGTTGCTGCTCCTTCAGGTACTTCTTTCGTGCATCCTCTTTTGCTTCATAAAGATCTATCACACGATGGTAGGTTGAAGGATCATAACCGTTCCATCGATCCCTCTTGCCATCATAGTCAAGTTCAAAACTCTCAATTTTCTCATCTGGTGCAATATTCTTGTTTGTGTATTTTGCCCCAATCTTACGAGGCCTATCCATACAAGCTTTTGCATTATGTGTCATTGCACCACAGCTTCATAAAAAAAAGGCATCCCAAGTTAGAGAGTGAATAAATTAAAACAAATAAAAATGTTTCAATCTTTCAAAGTCAAAAAATCATATATTGGGTTTAGAAATGTCACAACAACCAACGCCATAAACATTCAATGGATTGAATCACAATACTAAAACTGAAGCAATAGAAACAGACAGAAAAAGAAAAGAGGGAGGGACATACTTTTGACATGCTCCCTTCCGGTATTTTTCGGCTTGAAAGATCTTTGCACCTCTGTCATACCATGACTTAGTGTAATTAGGATCACTCTTCCATTTCCTTTGATGCTTCAAACTCTGTCAAAACCAATCGAAATAAAAGAGTATTCAGTGTGAATGTTCAAACAAGAAAATTCAGAGAAGCAACTGAACGAAAGAAGGATTTAGCTTACCGGTTTTTCAGAATTGAGATACCATGGAGCAGATGACATATACTGCGGGATATGAGGATTAATCTCCTTTCCATCCTCATCGACCTCAGCTGGAGCAAGCCCAGCTTTACGAGCTTCCTCTAATTCAATTTGCTTCCTATGATCTTCTCTAGACTTAAAAGCAACTGCAAATTTCCCAAGAACATACGTCAGATAAAATTCAGAACTGACTATATAATTAACTCTGCAAATTGGCCAAAATAACAAACATCAGAACAATAAGTAGCCCTATATAAATTGAGTACCATACTGTATCTCACATAGAGATGAAGGAATTTGCAAAATACCAAAAAAACGAACCTAACAACGGAAAAATATGTACAAACTCAAATCAGAGACTCTAAATATCACCCAACAACAAACAAAATCACCCAAAGCAACAAATCAGTAAGAAAAGCAAACTTATTTGGACTCTTTAGTATCACTGATTTCGATCTAACCTAAACAGAGAGAACCCATGATACGAACCCTAACTTCTATCAGAACAGAGATTCTTGACCACGATAGGGAAATCGACTATCAAATCGAGAACTTGAAAGAGAAATTGAACGAATCGATCACAAACAAGAATACCAAAATCTGAATCAAACTCGTAAGTTTCACAAATTGGCTTAAATCAAAACCCAAAACAGAGAAATACAGAGAGAGACTAAGATACGACAACTTCCAAAAACAGTAAGAACCCTAAAATTTCACGATACGAAATAAGGATTCAAAATAGAGATTCTCGAACGCCAAAGAGAAATTAAGAACCAAATCGAGAGACAGGTTGAAGTAATTTAGAAGAAAAAGTTGAAGGATTTGGAACCTGAAGCCGTCGCCATGTTTATCTGATCGTTAAGCTTTCGACTCCTCTCTGAGGTGATTTATGAAGAAACGAAGAAGAAGAAAAGGTTACGGCTTTTATGGTAAAAAATTCAGGAGGTGATTGAATGTGTAATCGAATATGGGCCTATAAGGCCCGCCACTAATTTATTCTCCAACCAAAGAATGTGTAATCAAATATGGGCTTATCAGGCCCACTACTAATTTGCTTTCCAACCAAAACCAAAGCAAGATTTTGGACTCAATCTAACTCAATTAATGCCATAATAACCCTCTCTTATATATTGTGCTAACAAAGATAATATTGAGATAAAATTTTAAATCTAATAGCAATAATTAACATTGTTCATTCGTAGTCGATAACACTATTTATCATGATAACTTTAAAGTTATACGATAAACTCATATTCAACGTGTTATTATACAATTGATATCGGCTAACTTTTATATTAAAGTATTAGTTACTGTGATAAATGAGTTATTATAGTTAACTTATACATTATCATACTTATCTTCATGAAAATTTAATTGATTTATCGCCATAAATATTAAGAAAATGATGATTGTTGTGGTTATTTTGTTTATTATCGAGGTAAATCATCTTTTATGCGGATAAGTTTATAAGATACAAGGTAAACTTATATCTATCATGTTAAATTATTGATTATTTGAAAGAAGATATTATAAAACAAAACAATGGTAAAAATGTATAAACACCACTCTCTCACTCTCTTATTTATCTAATTTCTAAAATCACATAGTTAGATACTTAATTATATAGTTTTCCAGGTATATACAATGGTATTTCTCTAAAAATAAACTAGTCACTATAAAATTTGCTATTTTGCTAACAAACCAAATATACATTTAACAAGAAACTAAAATATAGAAATAATAAAATACTTAATTGTAAAAACATTTCCTTAACTTTTTGGTGATTCAATGATTGTTGAACGATTATTATGGCTAATAATTATACTTTTTTAATTGTTTTGAATGTTTCTTCTTTTCTTTTTTTTTGAGTAGTTGTAAAATCTTGAGTTGTTAGAAATCCATTAAACAGTAACCAGTCTTCTGGTTTTGAAGAATGTTAATTCTATAAATATAATAATGCTATTTTTAGCAAAACGGATCTTAAGAAAGGAAAAAAATTAGCACAATTTGTTCATAAAAATATGTAAAAATAGATAAAAACTTTAAAATAATTTTCAAATATTATGCTGAGAAGAAAAAAAAGAATTTTTTTTAGACTTGTTTTTAGAGCTTAAAAATCAAAGAGGAAAAAATAAGTGGTTGTGTGAATTATCTAAAGAAAGTCTGATCGACAAAAAAAAAAAAATTTAAATGCTCCGACATCCTTGAAAGCTCTGCGCCAATCGGCCCCTAAAACAACATCAAACCAGCAAAAAGCTAAAATTCGATTTATAATTTTTTTTTTTGGGAAAAACCAGAATTCTATAGTTAAACAATGGATTTACTTTAATTAGTGTGACCATATGGTTGCTTTTATATTTTACTATAAATATAGAGATCTCTAAATATAGAGTAGATGTTTTCTAATGGTTATAAACCTCTATTTTTTACTCTAAAATAAATATGGCAAAGTATATATATATATACATATTATTAATTTAAGATAATTTTTTACTCTTAAAATCTACAAATTATATCGATTTATTTTAATTAAAAATCAAAAAGATAATATTATATCTTTTCATAATAGATTGAGAAAGAAAAGTGAGATTCTTGTTTATTATTTTGTCATTGTATTGTTAGTTAGATAATAGATTGAGAAACCTGGGAATCTTGCTATCTTTTTGTCATTGTACCATCAATTCATCTATAACTTACCTCTCCGATTTTTATCTCCATTCAACCCTTTCACAATTTTATATACAAACCTTCACCTTCTCTTATTTTTTAACAAGAATGTCTGGTTCTCGTTCTTCGGGATATTCTAAAGAAGAAGATAAGTTCTTATGTGAAGTCTATCTAAAAATTTCTCAAGATCCAATCACTGGTCATTATCAATCATCCGATCATTTCTGGGATCGTGTGGTGAAAGCTTTTGAGGATGGAAAAAATAGGACTTGGAGTAAACGTTCGAAAAAATCTCTCCAATGTCGATTTCAGAATATCGAGAGAGCAACAAAAAAACTACATGCATGCATAAGACAATGTGAAAATAGTTGTCAAAGTGGTGTTTCAAGTGATGATATCGTGAGTATTTTATACGAATTTTAGTTTACTTATTTGTCTAATTATTTATTTATTTTATTTTGAAATTGTATGTAGTTCAATCAAGCGAAAGAAATGCTAATGCAAGATTCAAGATTCAAATCTGGTTGGAAATTTGATCATGTATGGAACATTATTAAAGACTTTGAAAAGTTTAAAAATGGTGTCACCTCTGCTAGAAAGATACAAAATCCATGTGATTTGAGACATACATCTTCAGAGTCAGAAAATACTATCCATGATTCCATTCCCTCGGTGTCTCCAGGTTTGTCTTCATTTGATCTTAATTTAGATGAAGAAGATGACATAATTGGCAGATCTCCGCCTCAACAACCAAGTGGGGTGAAAAAATCTAAACTAAAAAGAAAAAACTATGATGAAACATCGAATGCTATCAAGACTTTAGATGGAGGAAATAAACAACTTTTGGAGCAACTAAAGAAGATAAGCGAACAAAGACAACAATATTTGGAGCTTCAATGTGAACATTTAGCATTGAAAAAACTTAGAACAGAAAACAAAATTTTATGTCAAAACTTAAGTTCTATTGAAGATCCAAATATTCGTGCCTATATTCAATCTGAGCAAGCAAAAATCTTAAAGAAAAGGGTTGATTAACAAGGTCTTTTGGCATCTACTTTAATAATCTCTACGGATCAGGAAACGATCTAGAAGATTTATTAAATCACTAGATTATGATGGTCTAGTTAGTTTTGTTAAAGACATGTTTTTATTTGGGAGCTTTTATTTATATTTTAGTTTATAGTGCTCGTTATGTATTTTTAATATAATTATTATTTGTTCTTTCATTATATTTTTTAGTTAAGATATGTTATTTTGTTTTTTAAGTATTAAAATAATTTAACATATTTTATTAAATACTAATCTTTATAAGTGTATAAATTTTTATTACTTAATTTTGTTTAGGTATATCATGGTAGCATATGAAAATAGAATGATCACTTTGTAAATAAAAAAAACTAATTTTAAAACTAGATAAATGAATAGTATAATTCCAGATTAGATTAGGATATAAAGTACAATTGGATATGCTTTTACTCTAAATATAGAGTTTAGAGTAAGATACATAGTACCATTGGAGATATTCTTAAATAAGTAAATAATGGATTTACTATACTTTTTCAATATGAAAACTAGGCTAGGACGACGCCGTTTTGATCACTTATTTGTTACAAAACCAAAGCAAGATTTTTAAGATGACAAATATAAACATAAATTGCTAGTAACAGTAGTTATATGATTTCATTTTTTTTAATTATAAATTTTAGTTTACTTAATTTGGTTTTGATTGTATTGAAAATGACCATAGGTCAACAAAACATAAAATGTGTGTGAAGTAAAAAAGCAAAAACTACCAAACATATGTGTGTAACAAAAATAAGTAATTTATTTATACAACAAAGCTCTGAGAGTATGAGACACAATCATGTTGTGTAGAGGAGAACTATATAACAGTGAAATGTAAATAAATAAATAAATTTAGACATACTTATAACCTAAGTCTAAATTTGCAACTACTACTTTGAATCTTAATAACATTATTTGTTGCCAAGCTATCAACAAATACACCACACCTGACCAAGAACCTCACTTCAAAGAGCTTTAACTTCCCAAATTTAACCCGAACCGGTTGGTTAACTCTAATTCTCAACGGTATATTCCCGGTTCTTTGTTGTTGCTCTTCTAATGTTGTTCTTAAACTCAATGCATTCTGAGTTTGACCAGTCATTTCTACGTATATCACTGTTGTGTTTTCATGGCCTTGGTAAAATTTTGGCAACGATCCTATAAAACAAAATTCACAAAAAAAGTTCAGTTAAGTTAAAATCTAAAATAAGATCAAGGGTTGGTATTTTGTAAACCAATTTTAATCAAACAAGAAAACCGGTTAACGTAAGCAAATTCGTTAAGTTTTTGGGTGTTCAATCCGGTTAAACCAATATAAGTCGACTACTCTAACCAAAATATTGATACGAAAAAGAATAATAAATTAATTCTGATTTAGTTCACCAAAAAAAAATTAATTCTGATTTAAATAATTAACTCTTTTATATCCGAAATTTTTAATATGAATCAAACAAAGAAAAACTATATTAAACCAAATTGTGTTTACAAACTAAAGATATATTTGACTATAGTCTAATCCAAAATGAAACCAAATATGTAACAACCATCCATTATATAAAAAAAAATTGAATATTTTTTTTTTTAAAAACAGAAAATCCGAAAACCGAAAATTTGAATCAAGCACCCGTAATTCAAACTTTGATATATCGAGAACCGGAATCAACCAAAAAACCAGTTTGAACTGAGATTTTTGAAGCATTTCTACGTTTAGTCGGGGCTAAATCAAAATTGATGTACCATTACTTAAGGTATATAAACTTGATGTAATCATAATCCATAATAAATATAATTTTATTTTGCATATTATTATTTAAAACCAGAAAATCCGAAAACCAAAAAATCCATAAACCGAAAAAATGAAGCCAAACAGAAGAGAACCGGAAAGAAACAAGCGGACGAGAACCGAAATTAACCAAATAAACCAGTTTGTACCGAGATTTTTAATAAAAAGAATCAAAATAAACCAAACCGGAGTAAAACCAAAATTGACGTACCATTGCTTAGTTGATGTTCCAAGTACCACACAGTAATCTTACTCCCATCTTCATAGTAAATCCCAATCTTCTCATTAGGATTCTTAGCAGTAATAGTAACATTAAAAGCCGTAGTCAAACTCGAATCTTGGTTAACCGCAAACCGGGTAAGCTGTAACCGATCAATAGAGTAATCCGGTAACTTCGGTTTAAAGACAAGGTAAAGTATACCAATCGTCGCGCCTACTACAACAACAAGTAACAAAAGAAAACAAAACGTGTAACAAACACATGTACAACAACAGCTTCTTGATCCTTTCTTCTTTGGTGGAGTCAAAGGCAAGAACCGTTGTGGCCTTTGGTTCAAAGAGTCTTCTTTAGATGGGTCTCCTTGTTCTGATCTTGATGAACCACGAGGAACCAAAGGAGCCGTTGGTCGTGCCGCTGGAGCTTCAGGGTCATGGACCGGATAGATTTTTTGGTGTTGAGACATTCTTGATGAATCTTGATGATACCAAAGAAGAAGAAGAAGAGATTTAGATTTTTGTTTAGGGGTTAGGGAAACGAATATAAGGAACAAGTGTATGGGTTTAAAAGTCAATAAGGAAGAAGTTTTCAATGGGTAGAGAGACTTATATAACCTATGGTTTTAATTTTGGTTATTTGAGAGAATATGAAAACGAGTAAACTAGTTTACCATAGAAGAGGACACACGTGTGATTTGAATTTGCCGTGTGGTGTTGAGGTAGCGGTCTTTTATGGTGAATTTGATGTGACACTGTTAGATAAATTTAAAAATCTTAGTAGGTGAAATTGTATACGTAATTCATGTGTGTGAACTTGTGTAATGTATATGGAAAAAAATATAGTGACTTTTAGGAAAACAAACCATACCTAATTAAACAACTAAAAATACATATATCCACTTTAGTGTATAATAAGATGATGTTAATAAGATGATCTTTCATCTCTAGAGTTCTACTCTTTTTATATTCTCAAAATATGTTTTTTCTTGTCATTTTGATAATTGTATCCTAAAGTACAAAAAGCCAATAACTCAACTCGTAAAAATTTCTGGCAAAACCTTAGATGTATAAGCTTCGACCCATATTTTTTTAGTTATTTTTAAAATATATATATATATATATATATATATATATATATGCTTTTGAATATTTGGATTTTGATTATGAGTATATATTATAAAGTCAAAATATCAATTTTTGTTGACCTAATCTCTCTTGACTTATGTAGCAGTGTTCTCATGCATGCCGTCACGGTTCTTTTTTTTTTCTTATATATACTTATTTTCTAAACTTGCCACTGAATTTAGTTTTTCTTGTCCAGGAAAAAAGAAAAAAGAATTGATCAAACTGATCATATCCCCAACCATTATTATTTATATAATTTATTATAAGTTCAAATTCATTGATCAATTTTATTTTATTTTTTAAAATAGTGGGGATTAGTTTTAAAATAAAATAAAAATAGTGACTGAGAAAAGAAACAATCTTATTGTTCTTTTTTTCTTTTGTTGACATAATAAAATCCATCTTATTGAATTTTTTTTATTGTTGACATGTCAACGAAAATTTCTAGAAGACTATTCTCCTGCTGGTCATATTAAACTAGTCCTTTTTGCGTATTAGGTACTCTATAAAAGTTCTACGTATATTTCGTTGAGATGGTTAACTTCGTTAAAGGACTTTGTATTCCTGATTCAGAAGCTTCCAAGAGCTCACTACAAAGCGTTTAGGAGATCTTTGTGCCACATACAACTCTTTATCTTACATGAGATGATGAGACATTAGTCTAGAGGAGCCTTGTTTGGTTTTGAACATGTTCAGATGTGCCATTGTATCCGACTGTGCAATATTTCACTTGTTCTATTGATGAATCCTTGAAAAAAACATCGATTACACTAGTGTTGTGGGATAGGCCGCCGGATCCAAAACCCATACCAGAACCTGTGGTCTCTTTTTTGCGCTTAATATTTAACATTGAGTTCGAAGTTTCTTAAACGATTATTTTTTATTTAGATTCGGATAAAAGATTCAAAACCAAACCAAATCCAAAGCGTATTTCGTTTATCGGGTATAGTCCAAAACGAATCGAAGCTGATGGATGTTTATCCGAACCCGAACCCGAATACTATAAATACCCAAATGGGTCTATGACCCTTTTACTGAAATACCAAAAAATCCAAAATACCCGACACAAGCCCGATCGGGTACCCGAACACCCAGTGAGATATGTTCTTCAATTTTTCATGATGGGACGACAACATACATCATGAAACCAAGCCGACTCGAGGTACTTCCCCTCTCCAATACGGAGGTGCATAGTTTCATATGTGCTATGGCCAATTTGCTTCACAAGGTTTAGGCCGATAAAAAAGCTGAATTAAAAACCGAACATATAACGTGTTAACGATTGAATGAAGTTTCTATGTCACAACCGTGTAACCATGTTATAAGGTTTCCAAATTTAGTTTCAGCTTACATTTTTACTTCCACCTTGACTCAGATATCAACTAGTTTTGAAGCAAACAACGGCGAAACGTTATACATAGAATAACATATAACCTTCTTGTCCTTAGAATACACAAAACAGACAACTCTCCCAGACATTGATGACATCAAAACAAACTATCCAAATTGTTTACAATCAAATCTTCTCTTTGTTTTAGATCTCACCATAGCTATTTTCAATCAATGCACGACGGGTTTCAAAGGTTGAGCTCTCAGTTTTGATAAGTCCAGGCTTGCATCAAGCTCCTCGTCTAGCTCCCCAATAACACCTCTGATTAAATAAAAACAATTGCCGAGTTAGAATATTGCCAATGCTAGGCAAATGCGAAAAAGGAAAACGAGGATGAGATTTATACATGTTGTCGCCTCTGATAATGTACAAACCCAACACAACTTGTTGTACTCCTTCCTGAAAGCTCAAGACACATAAAACACTAACACATTAAAAGATCTTACCCTGAAGAGAGAGAGAAAGAGACTGAAAAATACATAGTAAGAGGTCTCAATGCTAAATCAGAAACTTAAGGGTGGTTTAAAAGCAACTTTGTTCATATTTGAATCCACTAGACACTAATGGAAGTCAGTATTACAGAATCTAAAGATGCAATTCTTATGAGATCACATGCCCTTCTCCGCTTCCTAACATGTTTTAGTCACAAATGACATGTAACCGAAATATTTTTCTCCAATTACTCATCATTTTAACAGAAACATCTCTATTTCTAAGCCAAAAAATCTCCACAGATGTGCCATTACGACGAATACTAATCCCTCCCAAAAACACTGGCCTAATGGAGTATTACAGTCTTGGTCCAAACAAGAAAACAAAAAGGAATTAAGCCTTTAAGCATCTTTATGAAAACAAAAATAAATTATGTACACACTGCCAGTAAAGGTTTGACTCACATAGAGCTAGCTAAAGCATTTGTTAAATGCAATCACAAAAGTTTCCATTTCAATTATATAACATTTGATGAATTATAGACTTTATAGCACTAAAACTATTTCAGTGTAAGCACCATCGCCATATCTGTAGTCGCTATCTACAATTTCTGATTTAGTTTCTTCCATTCAGAGGCCAATTATTACTTTATCCACTCAAAGTACTATAGAAACCAGCCTATCTTAAATGTCAGACTATGTTTTTTCCTCAATAGATGGCATTACACAAAATAAACCAAGCAATGACTCAATGTACATTATTAGCAAGAACATACAAACAATTAAACATCCAGATGGAGAAAAATGCTCTGACAATGAACATAAATCAAACTAGCATCCTAGTGAGCTTGCACCTCAATTTTTCTAATTCTAACGGATCACTACAGACACGACATGGGGACATCAAGAACTCTGCTACATTATACAACCCTAATGAAAATGACTCTCACGGTTAGATGTAACAATTCAAGGGTCCAAGCCACAAAATCACAGACGGAACAATGTTATTATAAAAAAACTGGCCAATACTTGCAGAAACTAGTATTCACACCCATTCAATTTAGTACTTTGAAACAGAAATCAGAAGCTAACCTTTGTGGAAAACACACGTTCATGAGATTCATCAAGGATTATATTTGTAGCTTGGTCAAAACCTTTAAGAACTCCCTGAAAATTTTAAAACCGATATTGCTCTCTTTGCTTATATATTTCAAGTGACAAATCATATAACACACAAGAAGAGAAATTAATATACCACAATGTTGCGTCCATCATTTGTAATCACCGAAATAATCTCTGCAACACCAACCAAAAGATAAATTTTTAAGCTCAATTCATGCGATAAATATAGCACCACGAACTCAATCTAGAATGTTGCTTAAAAAGACAAACTTACGATCAACAAGAGACTCGAGTCCAGTAGCTGTAGCCATATTAACAGTCCAGAGAACAATATGACCTGAAAGGTTACTAAAATATTAGACTAGGAATTTCATCGAACACTTGGTGGGCATAACAGATAACAAACACAGTCCCACAGATTCTACACTCTCCAGAGGAGAAACTTCACCAAACTTGAGATGAACACATAATTAAGAGAAACAATAGATAAATCCAGCGTAATTCGACCCAAATCAGAGAAGAACCATATGTAATATCACAGACCAGAGGTATTCAAGGTACGCAGAAGAAACGTATAAGGAAGACGAAAGATAGAGAAAAAGGTCAAACCTTTACTGCTTCTGAATCAAAACCCAGTTGCTTAGCAGAGCTTTCTGATTCGTAAAGCCCTAAAAAAACCTCCTCACTGTTTTCAAAGAACTCTTCGGGGGTGTCTTTGATTTTGATGTTATAGGTTAAAGACGAACTTAAGAAATTTCTCAGAGATACATACACCCAAACCGAACCGACAATTTATCCGGTTTAATTCGACAATTCTCCCCAAACCCGAAATTAACAAAATTTTGACCCGAACCAAAACGGTTTAACCCACTTAAAAACAATTGCTAACCATTTCATAACATTGTTAATTTTCATAACATGAAGAAGAGAAGATTGGATTAAAGTGAGAAGTGAATACAAAATAAACCGGTTTAATTCGACAAATTCTGAAATTTTTATCCCAAACCAAACCAAACAGGTTTAATCTAAACCTACTTAAAGATTATTGCTACCATCCCACATAATTGTGGTAACATGAACAAGAGAGGATTAGAATAAAATGAGAAGTGGATACAAAATAAACCGAAACTAATTTGGTTTAACTCCACAAATTCTGAAATTTCTATCCCAAACCGAACCATTTGGTTTAACAATTAAGTTCCACATAAACAAATCATAACATGAAGAGAAAAATTCATTCAAATGACCAAAGTAAATACAAATAAACCGAAATTTTGTTTGGTTTAATTCAACAAATCCTGAAATGTCTATCTCAAACCGAGCCATTTGGTTTAACAATTAAGTTCCACATAAACAAAATCATAACATGAAGAGGAAAATTCATTCAAATGACCAAAGTAAATACAAATAAACCGAAATTTTGTTTGGTTTAATTCGACAAATTCAGAAATTTCTATCCCAAACCGAACCATTTTGTTTAACAATTAATTTCCACATAAACAAAGTCATAACATGGAGAAAAAAATCATTCAAATGAACAAATTGGATACAAAATAAATCAAAATTATTATTTGGTTTAATTCGACAATTTCTGAAATTTCTATCCCAAACCTAACAATTTGGTTGAACAATTAACTTCCACATAAACAAAGTCACAACATGAAGAGAAAATTCACTGAAATGACCAAAGTGAATACAAATAAACCGAAATTTTGTTTGGTTTAATTTTCTAACCCAAACTGAACCATTTGGTTCAACAATTAACTTCCACATAATCAAAGTCATAACATTGAAGAGAAACATTTCATTCAAAATGAGCAAAGTGAATACAAAAACAAACCAAACAAACAACAATGTCATATTTATTAAACCTCAACAACACGAGTTAGTGTCATTGCCTAAGTAGAAACTCTAATCATGTAACATTGTTACTCCCTGATGATTCCTCCAACGAACCACCACCACCTCTCTTCAAAGTCACATACTTCTCAAAACTCGGTTCAATCAAATCCGCCTTTTTCGCAGTCGATGTGAATCTAAACCGGCTCGAATCAGAGCTCAAACAAGTGTTACTACTCATAGAGTTAAGATCAGCAACTGCATCAACAATTGAACAAGCTTTAGTAACACATAAAGGTAACGAAACCGCGCTATCCTCAACCTCAACACTCTTCCCATGAAAATTCTGTATATCTTTCAACAACAATGCTGTGTAATTGTTATCCTCGTTCGATACCATATCGAAATCTCGCGATTTCCTCAATGATCTGCTTCTATTTAACACAACTTGAGTAGGTTGTTTCACTACTACTTCCACAACCGCGGTAGCCCGACTTATCGGGCTTGCAGCTCTACTCGTTCTTGGATTGTTTTTCGCTGTTTCGATCATCTTCTTGGTGGTATTGCAAGATCCATGACCTTCTTGATTAGTTTTAACAGAATCAGTCATCTTCTTGGTAATGTTGTTGTTGCAAGAACCAAGAACTTTTGATGAGTTTTGATCAAGATCTCCTAATGGATTCCTTCGAAAAGGCGATTGTTCCGCCTTTCTTGAATTGCTCCGGCTTAGCGAAGGAACGTTATTCCCCGCTTTAGCCGGAGATTTTGATCTCGGAGACGCTGCCATTCGACAAGCGTCTCCGATGTTTCTCTTAACCGTAATCCGTTTAACTAACGGCTCAACCACCACATTGTTGCTCTTATCCGTAGCCGGAATCGTAACAAACTTTCCCGGTCTACTCGAATTCACAAAACTGCCACTGGGAAACTCCGATCTTTTCGCCGGAGATCTACTCACTCTCCTACTACCACCACCACCGCCGCCGCCGCCGTTGCTTCCTCTTTCTCTGCTTCCGGATCGGTAACTTTTCGAATCATCTCTTTCTCTACTCGGAGTTCGTCTTCTCCGTTCCCGTGGCGAACCATTAACTCTCTCAACACCACGGTGACGATTCCCGTGAATCTGAATCTCACCGTCCACCTCCTCCGTAGCTTCGCCGTCAAAATCGAAGCTTCTCTTTGAACCAGAGTATCTTCTTGTTTTAGCAGCAGAGTTGTTTCGACTAAGTTTCCCACATTGTATTAATATAGCATCAACTTCTTCTTTAGTACAGCTTGAGATCCTCACGAGTGGTGTAGAGTTTGGTTTCTCAGTCACCGGAGAAGAAGAAGAAACTAAAGAGTCTTTGTCTGAATCTGTCTTCTTGGATCTTTCTTCATTGCTTCTCCTCTGTTTTATTACCACCAAAGCTTCTTCTTGTTCTTGTTCTTGTTCTTGTTCTTGTTCTTGATTCGGTTTCTCAAGTTTTGGTTTTGTTTCTTGAATTGGTTCAATCTCGGGTTTGATGGGATCTAAGTGTTTAACAGTACAAGTGGTGGTGGTGCCATTAGAGGAAGGAGAAGGTTTCTTGCTAAGACAGCAACCCATTTTCGTGTTCTGAAGAGTTTAGAAGAACAGAGAAGTGTTGAAGTGAGTTAAAGAACTAGAGAGGTTTCAGGGGAATGTCTTTTGTGTGAAAAAAGACAAAAAAGGAAAATTCAAAACTTCAAATTTCTGAGAATAATTGTGTTTTTAATTGTGAATGACACAGACCCTTTTATTTCAGATAATATTCTGATTTGCCCCTTAACTTTTACGAATTATGAAAAGTGGGGGTGAGATTGTAGTTTTAAGAAGTTTGGGGTCAAATTGAAATGTCTGAGAATATTATTTATTGATTTGGTAATGAGATTTGTGAGACTAACACAGTTCATTTTATTTCAGGAAATATTCGGATATGCCGCTTTACTTTAACGAATTTTGAATCGTGGGGATGATATTTGTGATTTTAAGAAATTCGGGGTTAAATTGAAAGTATGTAATTTAAACATTGAGAGTGATTTTGAAAATTGAGCCGTTATAGACTGCAGTCAATGTCGTATTATCTCTGATCATTTTCTACTTTTTCCGAAGCAATTTGTTTTTGTTTTTTTTTTTGTTTTTCAATTTTTTTTTAATATAAGTTTTAGAATTCCAACGGCTATTTGCATGTTTGTTGGTTTTGTTAGATTACCAAAAAAAGGATATAATCTCAGATTTTGTTAGACTCTCTTTGACAAATATATGAGTTTTAGCCATTTAAATTAGTGATTTGTTTGCCAATGAATTTTTGGTTAATTTGGTATAACGAATGTGGTGATTCTTTGGTTGTTAATAAGAGTGTTTTCATTAATACTAGGTAATGTCACGCGCATATGCGCGGGTTGTAGTATATTTATTTAATTATTTTAATTTATTTATTACTTATAAAAATAGATTAAATAAATTTTAATGCTTATGAAATTTTTACATGTTATTTATTTAAATCATACAATAGAAGCATACATCCATATCTTTTGAATTTATTCGTTGATTAATTTTTCAATTAAGCAATTTTGATAGTAATTTTCTTTAGTACTTTTAAGTATTTTTTGATAAAACAATAATATTGTTAATGATAAAAATAGGAATGAAATTGGGAGAATTTAAAAAATACCCCTTTAAAAATATCACTTTTTAAATCTACCCCCTTTTCAAACTTTATCAAAACAACCACTAAAAATGTTGAAATTTATCCAAATATGTGTGTAAACTTATAAATATACACAAAAATTACCTTTATTTGTGTATAAAATTTTATTTATTTCAATGTCTTACAAATTGGTTTGAATATAACAAAAAAATATTTTGTTAAAATAATTACATACTTTGAAAATAAAATAAATATACATGAATATGTGAGAAAGAAAAAAACATATAAAGTAAAACAATGAAAATGGTTTATTTAGCTTGATTTTTCTTATAATGTGATGGTCAGAAATCAATATTTTTGAATCCCATCGATAAAGTAATTTCCTTATAGCCATAAAATATTATTATACATATGTATTATACATTTAATAGTATAAAAACAATGAAAAAATGAAGAAGTACATAAAATAAAGAAGAAATATAATTGAAAACAAAAGTTTTAACCAAATATATAATCAAGCTCTTACAATGATATTTTAATTGAGCTTTCAACCCATGCAAGAACATTAAAAATTAAACAAAGAAAATATTGAGAATATCAGATATGGTGGAGGAGAATGTAAAAATGAGTATTTATAGGATAAAATATGATGTAAGTTACAATTCTAAAATAATTAAATCAGAGGAGTTATAATTATATTTTATAGTGTGTTAATTGAAGTTAAATGGAGGAAACAAATAGTCAATTGAAAGGTTATATAATTTAAGTTACAATTTAATAGTAAAGTGTAGATTTCAAGTATGAATTAAAGTATATGACTAAATGAGTTAGATATTTGGTTTAATTAAAAATAAATATTATAATTAAAAATAAATGCTAAATGGACCAATAAGGAGAGAGTGAAACCTTAAAAATTCCCGAGAAATAATTTTATTTTTAATCTCTTTTTATATTTCTCTTAATTTAAGTTATATTTCTAGGTTTTAATTATATTTTTCATCCTTGTAATATATATAATAGATAGAAAATGTAATATCAAATTGTTTTTTAGATAGGAAATCAAGTATAAAATCCAAAGTTAAAACAAATTATAATATTCTTTGTATTATTACATGTTGAATCACAAACTAAATATAAGGATCATTATTCTTAAAAGAATGTCTTACAAATTGGTTTGATAATTATATAACAAAAATTTTATTTTGTTAAAAAATTACATACTTTTGAAAATAAATTAAATATACATGAATATGTGAGAAAGAAACAAACATCCAAAGTAAAAGAAGGAATATGGTTTCTTTAGCTTGATTTTCTTATGACCATAAAATATTATTATGCATATGTATTACATTTAAAAATATAAAAAACAATGAAAACATAAAGAAATACATGAAAACAAAAAAATAAATAAAAATTAGAAAAACAAAAAGTTTAAACTAAAATAAATTAAATCAAACTACTTACAATGATATTTTAAA